ACGAAGTTGCGCGGATCAGCTAGTAATGTAATATATGTAAAGGGTTTTTTTTCAGACCACAGCTGGCCTTTACAGATTCCCCGGACGATATGGAGCGCGTGCAGATGGCACTTCAAATCCGCGGACTTATGGAGCGGCTGAAGGCCAATCCGCCCTGACGAATAGGGATTCACCACGATGATTTCCAGGGGTACTGCGTGGAGTCAACGTGACGTGATATTGTTAGCAATGGGGTCACTAGATCACATTACTAATGACCCACCACTTAGATGGGCGGGGGGCTTCTTTTAATTATATACTAATAATACCCCATCCCTCTATATGTCTATTGATATACATGCGTTATATACACTATTTAGGTACTCCATAACTCATTCTTGCGAATACAGAAAAATATAAATAAAAACAAACTTTACATAAATGTGCTAAACAAAGCACCTTATCGTTTAAAGCAATCTCATATAGATGGTAAATGAAAGTTATCATTTATTTTTTATCGCCGTTCCATCCACATATATCCATCATACATCCACATAACATATAGGCTACAAATTTCAATAAAAATTTATAGCCTATGAGTTATTCTGATGCATAAGCTATATTACTGTAAAGTATCATCAAAATCCGTTCAGTAGTTTCTACGCGAAAGAGTAACAAACATCCATACTCATAAACTTTCGCGTTTATAATATTATTAAGATATATACTTGAAGATAAAAACGAAAATATTTTGTATTTTTTTCTACACTTAGGATAACGCTATGTAAATCTATCTGTCTATTATTAAAAATAAACATTAGTTTGCAATAAGCTATTTATAAATTAATCAGTAGATATTAATTACACGTGCAAGCTATCCAACCGTGAGAGTTAACACGTGTTCACAATAATATTATATTGATAAAACAATCAATAGATTACCTGAATAGTAATACGGCAATGGCAGAATGTCTCTTTTTAAGGTAAAATAATTTACTCACCAATTTTTAGAATACCTAATAAATATATTGGACGCTGTATAATCGTGTTAAATATATTTAATTACCTATAAGAAAAGAATTATACAAAAAATATAATATAAGAGTAAAAAATTATATATAAAAAAACATATGTACCTAGTTCAAAATAAGAAAAACAAAAGGAGGCCTATCGCCAAACAGAGTGTGTTTTATAACTATGTATGTGTCAAAATAATATCCAAATAATAATAATAATAGTAATAAGTACCATAAGGACTCTTCCCATAAATATGTTTAACAAAAGGCGGACTTATCGCTTACAGAAATCTATTTACAGACAAGCGTAAAGTTTGTCATTGAGAGGATGATAGGAAAAGCCAGGTCAGTTAGCCCATTGTCGGCCCCAGTGGTCTAACGGGTTAGCACACCGCTTTACTTCCGATGGTCGCGGATTCGATTACTCGCACGGTGCAAACATTTGTATTCATGAGTATGATTACTTGTATCGGTATGGGTATTGCTTATTGTGTTTATATCTATGTATTTTCAGCAGTTGTCTAGTACTCACAACACGAGATTTGCTTAGCTTGGCCCTAGATAGAGCTAGATAACGTTTTGTGAATCATCTTAGAAGTTTTAGTCCGGGATGTTACCCTAACCTAACTCGTTAATTAATTACTCGGCTTAATTCATCATACTTCTGTAAATGTGTCTTGTATAGTGATTGGTCGGCCCCTGTTGCAACGAGCCATCCATGAAGTTACATACTCCCTCACAATTCTCCCCTAATTAATGATATAATAATTTACTTTCACGATTATTAACCCAGGTGCGCTTATTTATTTATTACCCTTTAATGCACCTGAAAAAATATAAAGAAAACAAATTATAAAGTATGAAGGTACAAATAGAAATAATCTTTATTGAAATAAATTTAATATAAGCACTTTTAATAGTTACATTTTTTTGTTTTACCACTCATTCGGTATGCTGACTCATCATAAGAAGAACTAGCAAGAAACTTGATCATTCGTCTTGTGATTGTTCTTTTCAACAAATGTTCTTCTAAGTATACACACATTAACAAGGATTAGGCATGCGACAATCAACATAGAAACCGCTACGCACTCCATCTTTGTGCAGTCAGATTGTCAGCGCTATTCATTTTAAGTTAGAATTTCTCTACAAAAACATTATTCATAAATTCTTCAATTTCATAATAAGCTTTATTACAAAGTGTTTTATAAGACATTTGAATCTTTTTACTGGTAGATTGAGGACTGACTGATTTCTTATAGCTTATTAATTTTTGGTGTCTGCCAGACTAGAACTCGCCTTGTGAGTCAAGATTGTAATTCTTGACGACCTCGGTAGTCTAGTGGTTTAGCACACCGCTTTACGTCCGTTGGTCGCGGGTTCGATTCCTGGCACGGAACAAACATTTGTATTCATGAGTATGATTGTTTGTATCGGTCTGGGTGTTTTCTATGTATAATATGTATGTATGTACGCAAAAAAAAATATCTATGTATATGTATCAGTTGTCTATTACCCATAACCCTTAGCTAGCTTAACTTGGATCTAGATGGCGCTGTGTGAATTGTCCTGAGATTATTATTATTATTATTACCTGTCATTCTCAAGTTATTATTATTTATACATATACACCTATCAACACTAACGTAAACAAACGTATGAGTTTCATTCATAAAAAGTATTGTGTGTTTGTATTTCTGCCACTCGTTATCACAACTTATCACTTATAATCACTTATTTATCCAATAAAACCAATATAGTCTACGGCGTCAGGTGTTCATTTTCCTATTGATGGATGATTGTAATAATGTTTTTATAGCTTTTTATTACATATTGTTGCCCAATAATTCTGTTATATGATTATCAGAAACTGTCATAATTTATCAGGAAATATGTTTTATTAAGTGTCTGCTGTGATAAAAATGTAATTACGGATTGGGTTTTGGAGATTGTTGCGCAAAAACTAGTACAATAAAACCACGCAATTGTCTGGTTTATTTACTTTTTACAGATGCTTCATTTAATTATTATTTTATTACAGTAAAGAAAAAAACCACGCAATCGTGTGTTTTATAAAAATAAGTCCGCAAAAACGTGAATAGCAATATTCAGAAATAAATTTTGATTTAAGTTGAAGGGATGAAACAATTGAAAAAATAGGTTGTAAAAATTTTTCAAGGATAACGGTAAGAAATATAAACAATGTTTCAAATGAAAGTTGTAAACAAAAAAATTCTGCACAAGAAAGGTCCTCTTCATTTTTTTATTATCTGCTGTTGTTTTGCCACAAAATTATAATTAATCTTGATGGTAAGCGGTAACCATCGCCTATATACCTGTACAGCACTACGATCATCACGTTATCATGTGACTCCCGTGATACTCATGTGTTGCCATTACAGAGAACTGAGTTATCATGTCTTTTAATGAACTTAACACTTCTTGAACAAGTGCTGCTTATAGTAATCACTACGACTGTTTTAATCCTATTGTGTACTTAATATCTGACCCTAATAAATTTATACTACTTGGTGGTTTGTATTAGCAATTGGAAATGTAAAGTTACAATGATTAATTAAAAGCACCACATGCATGTCTCTTGCTCGTTCTTCTTGTGATGAGACAGCTGTCCGAATGGGCGGTAGATTAAAAGATTGATAACTATGATTATTCTAAAGTGCTCAAATTAAGTTTATTTGAATAAATGATTTTATACTCTATATACTTTCTATTAGAATAGAATAGAATCGAATACAATAGAATAGAAAATCATTTATTCAAATAAACTTACATTGAAACACTTTTGAATAGTCATCACATTTTTTTTAATCTACCGCTCATTCGGAAAGCTGTCTCATCACAAGTAGAACGAGAAATAAACTTGTGTGTTGCTCTTTTAAATAATTTTATTCTTACTTACAATTTAAGTTTAAGTGTGTGAATACAAACTACAGATTAGCACTATTATTTATAGATTATTATATTGTATTAGAATTTTTTGGTCACGAAAAAGCGTTACATTGGAACCTACGTTGGTAGACGATATATCGCGTTGTGGGAGAAAGAGAAGACTAATGGCGGCTAAGAGAGAACAACGGCAGTCCGTTGAAGTTTCATTTCAACTATGTGTCCCAGCACCTTTTTTTATTATGTAATTTCACTCTCTAATCCGACCCTACAACCGAAACGCATCTTATAAAACAAGCTACTTTGAAGACTGGGTGAGACTGAGTAAGTACCTCAGTCAAACTATACGTAATAAATTCTCGTATTAACGACATAGTTATGGTTCAATTAAATGTTAGTAATTGGAGAGATATAACAGTACAGGTTGTTCTAACATAATCTATACATATAAATAAAATTGGAGTGTCTGTTTGTAATATTGGAATAACTGTTTTTTTACTACTTGCATATGAATATAAATACTGTACATGCACTAAAATAACATTTTTGTCTGTCTGTCTGTTTGTTCCGGATAATCTCTGAAATGGCTGGACCGATTTTGACAGGACTTTTTTGGCAGGTAGCTGATGTAATAAGGAGTAAATTAGGCTACTTTTATTTTAGAAAAAGTCTTTTAGTTTAGAAATATAAAGTTAAATTCCACGCGAACAAAGTCGCGGGAACAGCTAGTAGAGAATAATTCAATACAACTCACACAGCGCCATCTAATCTCAAGCGAAGCAGAGCTTGTATTATGGGTAATTGACAACTGATATAAAACCATAGGACACATTTTTTTCAATATATACATATTATACATAGATAACATCCACACAATCATTCTCAAGAATACAAATTACACTAGAAGGCATTGTATGATCAGTTTATTTTTATTCGCTCTAAAAGTGAACATGCTGTGTAAGCCGATTTATGTATTCGGATAATTGCAATGAACAGATCAATTAGTGCATTGATTTTAAAGGATTTGTGTTACCAACATTTTGCTGTACATTGGTCAATAAATTTACTGTTGTGGATTATTTTAGGAGATTGTAAATAATGATTGATGGTGTTATTCTGTTTGTTTGTTCGATTATAGCTGTGTCAGGTTATGGTGATGGTAAGCGTTTATCTATTTATATATTGTCATAGTAGTCCAGTACGGGGTAAGCAGAGGTTGAGTAAGAGAATCTCTCTTTCAAAAGTATTCAATCAAAGTCAAAGTATTCAATCCTTACATTCTTCTAGCGTCTTCTCTTTCTTCTCTTATGGCGTTATCTTATCATCGTCCACTGATGCACTTAAGCAGGCGTGTGAACCATTATATAATCATCCATTACAAAAAAAAGTGGAAATGATACAGGTATCAAAACTAAATAAAAAATATAATATAACATGGAGGTCAAAAACCTTATATATATTTTTGAGTTTAGTACATTGTATTATTAATTAAATATATAATCTAGTATTATTTAATTAAATTAATTAATTGTCTCACTTCCCTGTACTTAGTAGCTTTAATTCCTCACACGGTGCAAACATTTATATTAATGAGATGATTGTTTGTGTCTGTCTTGATGTTTTCTATGTATAATATACCTACATGTAGGTATTTACAAAAAAAATCGACGTATTTGTATCAGTTATCTAGTACCTATAACACAAGCTTTATCTAGCTTAACTGTGGTCTAGATGGTGCTGTTTAAATTATCTTGAGATTAATATTATTATGCGGACTTTTAATAAATGTTTTCCTGCAGATGCCCGTGGATCTCGTATGCGTGGGGCACCGCTACCAGGAACGCTGAGTTCAGTAGGAGGCGGTGCCGAAGAATCACCACCTATATACAGGCCAGGATCACAAGCGTATGTATCAGAAATAATAATACAACTTAATAAGTGTTTCTGAAGGAAAGAAGAATTTTATATCGAACGGACGATGCGCAATTTCGAACGGCTGTACCAAACGCATATACAGTCATAGCTCACCTGATGGAAAAGGACCGAAATGGAGAGCGAACTTAATGGAAAATTGTAACTGTGGGCTACAGACATCATATCGTCACGTAATGCCTACGGTATTTTTCATGGGTTGCTATTCTTAAGGACTAAGATGTCACGCCTCTGAATTCTGTAATACGGAGGCTTGGCTTGACAGCCGTCGGTGGTCATTTAATGGTAAGTTTCATGTTGTTCATGTAGTAGATGGTTGCCAATTACCAGTTGCCATAAAAAGACATAATTTATTTATTTACTTACTTCCCTCCCAGTCATTAACTCACTCACTCACTCACTCACTGATTCACTCAGTCACCCATTCCCTTACTTACTCATTTATTTATACTTAATACATGGATTTCATTACTTATAGTTTTACTTTAATTATATTTATTTATTTTATATAACTTCAATGCACAAAATACCAAGGTACATATGGCGGACTTAACGCCTTACGGCATTTTCTACCAGTCAACCACAGGCTGTGCAGAGAAACAAACATAACATATTTCATTAGTATTTGATTTGTTTTTCTTTTATACTACTATGGTGGCAAACAAGCATACGGCCCATCTGATGGTAAATGGTTACCGTAGCCTATGGACGCCTGAAGCACCAGGGGTGTCACGTGCGCGTTGTCGACCCTTAAGAAACCTTAATATACCCTTCTTGAAAAACCCCATGCCGTAGTCTCGTGAGAAAACTTGGCAGGAAGTTCATTCCACAATCTAAGTGTACGCGGGAGGAAGCTCCTCTGAAACCGCACTGTTCGAGACCACTTAGGTTCCAGCGTGTGGGAATGAATTCCCTGTCGATGGCAAGCGTTGCGATGGTAAAAGGTGGCCGTAGGCATCGTGTCGAACAATTCCTCAGAACACAGTCCGTTGTATAATCTGTAGAACACACAAAGCGAAGCGAAGTCTCCCCTCAAACTAAGTGGCTCGATACCGTCAGAGACATTGGGATCATCGACAATTCTCATAGCACGTCTCTGAACCGAGTCAAAACGACCGAGCTGGTATCCAGGTGCTCCTGCCCAAAGATGTCAAACAAGAATACGGCGTGTCTGATGGTCAACGTGTGTGTCTGATACTGTACTACCCTTAAGAAACCACATATGCTGTCTCGCGTCTGGTGGTCCTACTAAAAATCAGCGCTGTGGTATAACTTAGTTATACTACAGTATAATTACCGAGTGGGAGTCATATTCAGTGTTACCAGTATGTTATAGCTTGTAATTATGATTGTTATGCCGAATACTGATGGAATATTGAACAAGTCTTTGTTATTATATATCATCACAGGTATGTAGTCTCTCAATTCGTGAAGCCGAAGCCACCTCATCAGTACTGGGAAGAGGAGACATCCCTAACTCTCATCCCTGAGAACAAGAACTGTTTACTGTGTGAGGCACAGGATTCTGGGGCGTGCAAGGCCATGCCGTCCTGTGTGTATTGTGAGCCGACGGTGACAGCACTGTGCGAACGAAGTACACCCTGCCTTAGATGTACAGGTAATAGATAGACAGACATATCATAACACAATTTAAAATATATATACCTATACTAATAATATACTACCTGATTTAGTAAACGTTATTTTGCCACATTTATTTTACACTTATATACTTACAAAATCTGCTTATAGGTATGTAGTGTACAAATATTTAAGTATCAATTAACTATATACTATCTTACTCCGCAAACGTTGTTTTGCCATATAAATAAAGATCGCTATAAATAAATAAAGGTTGGTGATAGAAGGGTGAAAATATAGGGTTGTATGTAATTGCGTGTTGCTCTTTTAAATATTTAGTAGTAATTTTACATTTTTAAGTTGAAATGTGTGAATACAAACTACCAACTAGCACTTAAAAATATTAAATACACAAACAACTGGTTAAGTAACTAAATAAGTTTAAATCGGTCACAGTGATTAGAGCAGACCAGTCTCTACAAGCAGCACTCGTCCACGAGTATGACGAATAATATACATAAGACAACGAACATTGGTTGTATTGGTCTGGGTGCTTACTGAATGTTAAATTAATAGAGCAGACCAGCCCTTACAAGTAGCACTCGTTCTCGAGTATGATGGATGATCCAACTTTGTTACAGTCATAAAAAACCCATTCTTCAAGTGCATCCCAGGAGAGAAGTACATGGATGAATGTGACTCCTGCCGATGTACAGACGGACATGGGGGATGGTGCACGAATCAATTCTGCGAGTTCAGATCTCTCCATCTGTATGCGCTGAAGTTATCGGATGGAGAGTTCTATTGAAAATGCAACTATATCCTATAGATATTAAAGTATATAATTGTAATGTAACTAATTTTATTGATGATATTGATACCTATTAAAGGTTTAGTGTTAGTGGTGGTGTGCTCGAATGGCAATCTGTTCAAGACTTTTCTCAAGCAAAATTGTCAAATAATCCGTTTACCGAGCGGCAGCCAAAAAAACGAGATTTTAACCTTCTTTTATTTTCTCTATGTAGGTACTATTCTCGTTGAGTGTTTAAACTAAACAGAGGTGAACACAATTTTGTCCCCCTCCGATTGATCCCCCGTCCAATTCAAACGGGTATCGAAATTACGACGGCCTGAGCCGAGGTTCGAACCCCTAGTGGTGCCCTCAGACTAAAGTCGTATCCGTCAGGCAGGAGTTGGCCTTCAGCCGCTCCATAAGTCCTTCCGCGGGTTTGGAGTGCCATCTGCACTTGCCCCTAACGTCCGGTGAAGCTGTAAAGGCCAGCTACGGCCAACAGCATTAGACTAGTCCGAAAAAAAAAAACTTGTGGTACAAAAAAATAAACAAGATGTTATGAAACTTCTAGAATATACATTTTGTATCATAATTCGAATTATATTTAATTTCTATTATTCATACCTTTAATTATAGAGGCACAAATCAGATTAATTAATTATAAAAATATAGGTGTTGTTATCGTAAAAACTAGATGGCGTTGTAGTCATAAATTTGTTATAGCGGGGCACGTAAAAAATCATACGTTTGAATAAAAATATTTGAATGCGTATGGTTATTCGTATTGATATGGATATTTTCTATGTATATTATTTAAGTATTTACAAAATAAAAATGTATATAGATATATATTTTTATAATTTGTTTAATACATAACAAGCTGTGTTTACCTTGAACTAGATGGCGCTGTGTGAATTTTACAAAGTTACTATTATATTACTATTATTCGAGCACATCAACGCTAATATATGTATTTATTTGTTGTATCAAAAACATTATACATTTCTTCTATAATAAATAAACTAGTGAGAATCCGGAACGAACTTAGACGTTTCGGAGATAAATATATTCATATTTTAGTAAGCCCTTTAAAAGAGACGCAGCTGTAATTCTATAATTCTAAATTCAACAAACAAATTAACAGGTAAGTATATCGATTATTGTGACTGAATCACAGGCACCGCCGGAACTGCGCCTCGATAATGTGACAAAGTGACAAGGCCGTGTTAATTGATACAAATATTTACCAATGGATCACTCAATCGTGTATCCTTGTTTAAATAATTCACTCGTAACCTCTATTTCGTTACCAATAAGGATTATATTCATAGTTGATTTTAATGCAGTTTCCAAAACTTTGTGGGTGGCCAATGAAAGGATTATAACTTACGGCTACCGTGTGACATTTTTTTTAATTTTTAAAAATAGAATTCGTTAAGGAATGCTAAGGATTAGGTTCGTAATTATCATTGACTCTTTTGTTAAAGAACAACAGGTAAATGATATTGTTTTGAAATAAGAATAGGGTAGTTCTTTTGTTTGAAAATATCAACTGACTACTTACTTAGAAGTGGTATTTTGGGTGTTCATTCAAGTAACAGCTTTATAAGTACTTATCGTATGACTATTAACAAAAAACATTAGTCGAAATTAGACCATAATTAATTTAAATAATAAGTTTCAATATTATTAAGGTTCTATTGTCATAGACTATACTTCTATGAGTGTGTGTCAAATATATGGTAGAGAAAGTACCTAATCTATTTTTTTAATTAATAATTTAAAAAAATATTAGCATTCTGCACTCCTCTATTATATACCATTTTATTATAATTATTATTATAAACCATTTCGAAATTTCATATTTCTCCTTCCGCGCAATTTTCGTTATTTTTCTATAAATATGAAGTGTTTGTTGGTAATTTAAAATTAACAACTTTCAACTAAATACATCCGAGTATTTTATATACAGAACTTACATAAAAATATAATTAATAAAAAAATCAGTCTATCTATTTGTTCTTGTTAATCTCTGGAACGGGAAACCGATTTTAACGAGAGTTTCACTCGCAGATAGCAAATGGAGTAAATTATGCTACTTTTATTTTTTAAATTTTATTTATTTTAGTAAAAAAAGAAGTTAATTTTCACGCAGACGAAATCGCAGATAACAGCTAGTATTTTCTTAAAATCAGTTCTTCATTAGAGTATTGAAATAATTTCATACTTGTATCATACAATACATACAATTTCATACATGTATGTGACCAAAATCTAAATAAAATCATATGTAATAGAAAACATACTTACCTATATTAATTTCCGTTTAAGGACCAACAAAAAAGCAGATCAATTTCATTTGTAAGACTTACACCGCCGAAATGACAAATGTGGTTTATATTACACACGGCACAATGCATTGAATAGGTTTTTTTTGTGACGACCACAATTATCGGCGGAAGTGTAAAATTTTGTGACAATGTGACAATATGAAACAGTTTAGGCAAAGTACCCGACGATTTGTAACAACCGCCTTTCTTTGAGACGAACACGGAATTAAATATGTTTGTCTGGATACGCCATTTTTTTTTAATTAATTTTGTAATGGATAAACATGGATTTGCCATCGGCGTTAACGGTGTGCTGTCAGATCTTCAGTGGAAGAAGATAGAATGAGTACGTGACGATGGGATACATAATCATATAGTCATATACTTGCAAGTAGGTCTTGGTATACCTAATGCTAGCAATCTACGTACTACAACATTGAACCTTATCCCTATTTTTAACAATCTTTTTTCTTTGTCCCTTCTGCCGTATGTCGTTTTAACTCTATTAGCATTATCGTACATGACATAGATAATATTTTAAAGAGCAATGGCGGATAAGTCTCCGGAAAATTTCCCTGTGTTGGGATACGCCCCAAGAGAGGGGTTATTTCCAGGCTACCTTTGAGTGACTGAGAGCAATTGTGCAGTACCTATATAGTAATTATGATATATTTTTAACTAGCTATTCGCCCCAGCTTCGCCTCGGTGTACATAAACCTTCCTCTCAAATCACTCTATATACTAAAAAAACCGCTTCAAAATCCGTTGCGTAGTTTTAAAGATTTAAGCATACATACGGACGGACAGACAGTACCAGCGACTTTGTTTTATACTATGTAATGATGATGATATAATAACTGAAATCTTACTAATATTATAAATGTGAAAGTTTGCGAGTATGGATGGATGTTGATTACTCTTTTACACAAAAAACTACTGAACGGATTTTCATGAAACTTTACAGTAATATAACTTACGCGGGTCAGCTAGTACAAAATAAGTTTATTACCAAGTACGCTCTTGTCCATTCCAGCAAACATATAAATAATAAAGAAACCATTATAGAAATGGATTCTATTCAATAAAATCCTAACACATAAGACCGCCCGCTGCGTTGTTGTACATACAAAACATGTAATCCAGTTCTTTTTAATATGAATATGAAATGGTGCCTGACTGGCCTACCGGCATCCCCTGACGGGGCTCCAGTGGAGGATGATAAGATGAAAATGAGGTCAGCTCATCGTGACAGATTCGCCAGGAATTTATCATGCTACTTTCCGGGGATGATCGCTAGGAGGTCAATTTAATATGGAGTCAGATCATTTAGTACATTGTGACAAATTCACCAAGAATTTATCACAATGGTTTCCAGGGGGAACCGCGGAAGTCAAACTGACATGGTATATTGCTAGGAATGGGGTCAACAGTCCACATCACTAACAATCCATTTCGCCCCACCGTGGTAGATTACCATAGGGATTATGGTGACCATAAACTCTATGTTTCATTATTTTCTACGTATGTATGTTAGTCCTTAAGGTATATATAATATGGGCCAATATTGCTTTATAATAATATTAAGTTGCCTTAAATAAATAAATAAAGTGAAGTAAAGAAGAAATAAAATCGGTCAATTGATTCTTCAATTCAACCATAAAAAGGCTGTCATTAGAATTGATACTCCAATTGAAGTTTCAATTCAACAATCATCAAAATGTCACATTGTGATTTGATAGAGCCTTCAATATATTGCATTCTGATGCATTCAAAGATTGCCACGAATAACCCAGAAACCGCATTCACGGAGCGTTGAAGTGTTGTTAAGAATTGTTTTTATCGTAGTTGGGTTCCGTCCATTATATATTAAATACTAACTGTGCCCGCGGTTTCATCCGCATAAAATTTATAGCCTATATGTTATTCTGATGTATAAGCTATATTACTGTTAAGTTTCATCAAAATCCGTACAGTAGTTTTTGCGTGAAAGAGTAACAAACATCAATACTCACAAACTTTCGCGTTTAAAATAATAAGATTTTCCTGCACATGTCAAAAATCTTTTTCGCTTATACAGCAAAATATCTTTCTCTCTCTCTCAGTCATTCATTTTCCATTTCATTTCGGGTCGGTTCTCCTAGTCCTTCTTCGCCAGGCACATCTGTCCTAGGTCGGTAGGTTCTGTTCTCTTTGGGTCGGTATTGATAAACGGACTGTCAAATTATTGCGGGTCTTCCTCGACTCTTTGGGCCGGTGTTAAGGTTCAGTATATACAGTAAAATATGTAATAATACCGACCGTACCGACTTTGTGTATGTGTAAGACAAGTTTTTTAGTCAGGAATGTCAAGTATTTTTGTATTAATATTTTTTCCGTGTAGTCCAGTTCAGTTCATACGGATTCAATTGAAATGAACTAGCAAGTAACTCAACTTATTACATAACAATTGTAAGCGACGCGTTCTGTGCCTTAAAAAACAAAATAATTAAAATGATGTTTGTCTATGTTATTGTCTCTGCGTGCGGTGTCGTAGTCGTTTTCAAAAAAACTTATAACCGGCGCAACAGACGCCACGCAGTCTGCACCTAGATGCGATCGACACCGCACGTCATATCTCTAATTAACATTATAAAATTTATGTGTCGAAAATAAATCCAATTGTCTTAAAAGTCTTCGTTTGCCATCACCGTGACCTACCATATTTTATACCATACATTTGGTCATTCGGCCGGATTTATGTACCGCACACCACCAGCGCACAAAATGGTAGGCACCCGAAGTACTGCACGCAATAAGGACTGCATGCAGACGGAGCAGCATCCTGGTTCTGAACAGTATCAAGATACGCCACGGCCGAGTAATATGAAGCCTACAGAAGAGAAGACGGTGACCGTTATGAGCACAAATTCAAAAGCGGGTACTTGTAAAGAAGAATGCCAACCGTCGACGCCCGTTACAACGAAGCGTGCAAAGTCCACGAAGTCTTCGTATTCATCTGTACTGGCACGTAAAAAGCAGTTAGAACTCGATGCTGCACAGAAGAAAGCTAAAATTCAAATGGAATTAATTGACAAACAATTGGAAGCAGACCTAGCTGATTTAGAAGCAGAATACAGTCCAGACCTAGAGGATAATCGCACCAACATTAATAGTAATGTGGAGAGGTGGGTCGAACACAGCCAGCAAGAATTGGAAAACACACAGTTTGCCCACGATCATGGTTTTCAACAGGGTGACACGTGTCCGCCAGCAATAGATTCTGGCACTAATGGTACTACAGTTCAGATGCTAGCAAGCGCTCTAAAGAACATGGCCGCCGCCTCTGCGAATAGCAACTCGAATGCTAAATTATTGTCTCGATTGAGCACGCCGAAGGATTTGCCATACTACTCAGGGGACCCCATGGAATGGCTGCAATTTAAACAGGCCTATGAAGAATCGACTGAAGTCTGCAACTTCAATCCGAAGGAAAATTTATGGCGTTTACGGAAATGTCTACGTGGAGCCGCAAAGGAAGCGGTATCAGCTTTACTCATCAGCGCCGTAACTCCTGATAAATTAATGGCGACACTGGAACTAAGGTTCGGTAATCCAGATATAATTATATCACGCTTGATACAAGAATTAAAAAAGTTACATCCAGTGTCACAAGAATATCAAAAGGACATAGTGTACTTTGCTGTGAAAGTGCAGAATTTCGTGGAAGCAACACGAGCCGTCGGCCGCCAGGAATATTTACAAGGTATAGATGCATTTACATTATTATTATCTAAGATGCCAACTGTTCTTGTATCTAAGTGGTCAGATTATAGTTACACACTGTTACTAGAAAGAATGTAATCTAGATTAGAATTATTATCCGAATTTCTAACTCAAGAAGCAGTAAAAATTTCCACAACATCTAACTTATGCTTAATAAATGCACGCAGCGATAAATATAAAAATTATGATAATAATATAAGTAGCAGATCACATTCTGTTTTAGTACTGAATGATAAGTGTCAATACTGTCGTGTTTCAAGACACGATTTAACAAAATGTACGCAGTTTAAAAAAGCGCTAAGAAAAGATAGATGGCGATACATTAAGCGTAACAATCTTTGTTACAAGTGTTTACTGTCAAGTCATGAGCGCGAAACATGTCCGGCGCCCGCCTGCGATAAAGATGGCTGCGGCGGAGCGCACCACCGGCTTCTGCACTACCCCGTACCCACCGGGTGCAGGACTAGCAACGTCACCGCCGAACAAGTGAACGAATGTCCACCCGTGAGTGAAACTGTGACCCATATTAACGTAAATAATCAACAAGTGTTATTAAAAGTAGTGCCGGTAAAAATTCGTGGACCATACGGTGTTATTAATACCACCGCCTTACTTGATGACGGTTCAACTGTGTCGCTCATAGCTACCGATCTCGCTAACCGCGCGGGACTGAGCGGCCCCAGCGACACATTACGTATGTGTGGTGCATGGAATAATTCTGTAAATTTATGTAACACTATTTTGTTGTAACCTTTGATATTTTCTCTGTAAATTCATATGATAATAATGATGTGTATACTGTAAAAGCTCGTACCATAAATAATTTAGATTTGCCTATACAAGATTTATCTACTGTTAATTACAACTTGTATAAAAATTTGCGTAAAATTAAAAATGAATTGTGTATAAAAAAATTGAAACCTGAAATACTATTAGGGCAGGATAATTATCATTTGTTAATTCCTTTGCAAACTAGTTTAGGTAATAAGAATGAACCCGTCGCTACACGCACTCCCTTAGGTTGGTGTATACATGGTTGTTTAGGTATACCGGAACATAAACAATCGTCCCACTCGACCCTCCTTATCTCTGAGTTACACAGCTTACCAGTCGACGAGAGCGAGCGCATGTTACGAGACATCCATGACGAGGTGCGACGGTCATTCACCATCGAGTCCATGGGAGTGTCAGGTAAGCCACGGGAGAATGCTGATGATATCCGTGCCCTGACAGTGATGGAGCAAACTGCTACACTCATCAACGGCAGGTGGGAGGTTGGGCTACCATGGAAAGATGAAAGCTGCAGGATGCCAAATAGCTTCCCTAACGCTGTACGCAGATTAAAAGGTATAGAAAAGAAAATTATGTTAAATACGGAATATGGTAACAGGTATGTCGAACGTGTTAATCATTTATTACAAAATGATTATGCCAGAGAGTTGGAAGATTGCAGTGTCTCGCCACGGACATGGTACTTACCACATTTTGGGGTAGACAACCCAAATAAAAAAAACTACGTCTGGTCTTCGATGCCGCAGCTAGCACAAATGGTTTGTCATTAAATGACTATCTACTGAAGGGGCCGGACCTACTTACATCTCTGTTCGGCATTATGGTAAGATTTAGGGAGAACAGAGTAGCGGTGACCGGCGATATAAAAGATATGTTTTTAAGGATAAAGGTAAGAGAAGAAGACCAGAACGCACTCAGATTTCTGTGGAGAAGCAGTCCTGCAGAACATGAAAAAACGTACGTGATGACGTCATTAATATTTGGCGCGAAATGTTCACCGTTCATAGCTCAATTTATTAAGAATAAAAACGCACTAAGGTATGAGTCATCGATGCCAAACGCCGTAGCAGCGATATGTAATCAACATTATATGGATGACTACATAGACAGTTTGCCAGACGAGGCCGCCGCCATAACAATGGTACGTAATATTAGTAAAATTCACAAATCAGGTGGTTTTCATATTTGTAATTGGACTAGCAACAGTCCAGCCGTATTGGATAGTATTCCAAAGGAGTCCTTAGGTACTACGGCCGTAAAGTTCAAAATAGATCAAGAATGCGAAGGTGAACGTACGCTCGGATTGATATGGTACCCGCGCGAAGACGAGTTGGGGTTCGATGTGTCTCTCAAGCGCATACCACATGACATAATTAATGGTAAGAATAGACCAACAAAAAGAGTTATGCTCAGAGTCATAATGTCAATATTCGATGTATTTGGATTCTTATCGCCATTTTCTATACAAGGTAAAATAATGTTGCAAGATACCTGGCGCGCTGGAATCAGCTGGGACGACTTAGTAACAGATGACATACATAAAAAATGGTGTCAGTGGGTCAATGTACTAACGAGTGAAATAAAAAATATCCGTCTGCCGAGGTGGTATCAAGCAGCGACGAGTGGGAGCGAGTCAGCGATAAAACGTAGCACATCAGTTCAGGTAAACATAACCTCTCTCACCTCTCTTACATCTACAAGCGTAACCGAACGGGCTATCGGCTACGAAACTGGCGTAGCTAATAGCTGCGCTACGACATCCGCTGCAATGACGTAGTGACAGGCGCTACGAAACAGGTTTTGGCTGGAAGTGAATATAGTAATTTAGAGTTACACTTGTGTTGCGATGCGTCGACTAAAGCAATGTGCGCAGTCGCATACTGGCGATGGTACGTAAATAAAGATATATGTATGTCATTCATAGCTAGCAAGTGCCGTGTCGCGCCCGTGAGTCATACTACCGTGCCGCGTTTGGAATTGCAAGCTGCTTTATTGGCTGCGAGGTTGGCAGATACAATAATCAGAGAACACAAAATAAATCCAGTAAGGCGTTATTTTTGGTGCGACTCTAGTACCGTGCTACACTGGATATGTAATAATACACGTAGCTATAAAACGTACATAGCAAACCGGCTGGGTGAAATAGACGAGCTAAGCCGCCCTGAGGAGTGGCGGTATGTACCTACAAAATTAAATGTTGCTGATCTCGCTACGAGAGAAAATTACGACGATTCTCTTTTTAAAAATGAATGGTTTAGAGGTCCGTCATTCTTATACAGCGATGAGTCATCGTGGCCGGTGAATATAATCGATAAGATAAATGAAATGAGTTTAGAACGAGTAATGATAATACAACATGAAGATTGTAACTTACCTGTACCTGACCCAGGAAGATTTTCATGCTGGTTACGACTGGTGAGGGCTACGGCATGTATTCTAAAATTTATATACAAGTGTAGAAAGCAGATTGAGACTGTTTGCACAGTCATGAAGAGGGCTGAGCGATTGCTGCTAAAATATACACAAGAACAGTCATTCGGTGATGAAATAGCTGCAATTAAAAATGGTAACTGTTTGTCAAAAGGTAGTAAGTTACTTACGTTATCTCCATTTCTGGATGAGTACGGGATTCTCCGTGTCGGCGGCCGCATAGATGCTGCACCGGATGTTGAACCTGAAATGAAGAGACCTATCATCTTGGACGGGCGTAGTCAGGTATCTCAATTAATTGTTAGATACAACCATGTGAAGACAGCCCACGGGAACCAGGAAACCGTTGTAAACAACCTGAAACAGAAATATTGGATTATTAGAATACGTCCAACCGTAAAACATGTAGCATATAAATGTATGTTTTGTAGAATAAAAAGAGCAAAACCACAGGTACCGAGAATGGGAGAGCTGCCTGAAGCACGACTGGCTCATCATCAGCGTCCTTTCACACACTGTGGTCTGGATTTGTTTGGACCCATGGAGGTCACTGTGGGGAGACATAGAGAGAAAAGGTATGGAGTTTTATTTACTTGTTTGACCGTCCGTGGAATCCACTTAGAACTGGTATCATCACTTACCTCTGACTCCCTCATTATGGCTCTTCGTCGAATGGCAGCAAGACGGGGTTGGCCTCGTATGCTGTACTCTGATAATGGTACAAACTTGAGAGGCGCTGATGCTGAGCTGAAGAAGTCTATAAATGAGGTAGATTTTGATAGGCTAACAAATGAAGCAGCTAATAATGGAGTGGAATGGACCTTCATCCTGCCTGCCAGTCCCCACTGGGGTGGGGCATGGGAGCGACTTATTAGGAGTGTAAAGACTTCACTTAGGGTAATTTTAAAAGAACGTGCACCACGTGAAGAAGTACTCAACACGCTCCTGACGGAAGTTGAGAATATTGTCAACAGTCGACCCTTGTCACATGTATCGGTAGAAGTAGGTAGTAGTGAGTCTCTAACTCCTAATCATTTTATGTTGGGTTCGTCATCAAATTTGCCAACTGTTGGTGTATTTAATGACTCTGATTTGTACCTACGTAAACAGTGGCGTAAGGCGCAGAGGCTCGCTGACATGTTTTGGAAGCGGTGGGTCAGAGAAGTGCTTCCTGACCTAATACCTAGGCGTAAATGGCAGTACGACCAGACACCGATACAGGTAGGTGATTTTGTACTTATTGTCGATCCTGATGCACCTCGTAATTTCTGGCTGAAAGCTGTGGTTCAGCAGGTGTTTCCAGGAAGGGATGGTCGTGTTTGGGTCGTAGAATTGAAAACTAAGACTGGCATTTTGAAACGGCCGGTGACGCGTGTCGTTCGTATTTCGATGGATAATGAGTGCTGAGCCAGGCTCAACACTGGGGTGGGGTGTGTAAGCGACGCGTTCTGTGCCTTAAAAAACAAAATAATTAAAATGATGTTTGTCTATGTTATTGTCTCTGCGTGCGGTGTCGTAGTCGTTTTCAAAAAAACTTATAACCGGCGCAACAGACGCCACGCAGTCTGCACCTAGATGCGATCGACACCGCACGTCATATCTCTAATTAACATTATAAAATTTATGTGTCGAAAATAAATCCAATTGTCTTAAAAGTCTTCGTTTGCCATCACCGTGACCTACCATATTTTATACCATACAACAATATTCTTTTATCTTAAAGCCAGTTTATTTACTTTATATAGGTACAAAATCTGGTTATATGTAAGTAAGTATAAAAACTAACATCTTACTTTGTTTACCAGTTTCAGTGTACAAGGAATCCCAATAAACACAATTATACGATACTTACATGTATATGTAACACCCGCTGTTCATTCAAGAATGGTATAACAATTTAAATGGTCACAATTCATATAAACCATCACAATAGTGCTATTGACAATGTAATAACGTCATTATAGTGTTGAGTTACTCGACCATTTTACGTTGCATTTTTTTAATAAGGCTGTGGTCTGACGGAGAGCGTGTAGCAAAGACAAAGGTAATGGGAATAGATGGCACAGTCCAGCACTAATAATAATAATAATTAATTTAAATCAAATCAAAAATTATTTATTCATGTAGGATATTTTAGCCGCTTATGACCGTTATTTTTTTGTATTAATCTATTAATAGTAATAATATAGACAGCAGCAATAATAATAAAGAAATTTATTCAGCATTACATCAGTATCAGTAGTTTATAATATGTTTGTAGTATATTTAAATTAAAAGTTAAAATATATTGGTAACGATGAAAGTAAATGAAATGAAATGAAAAATAGTCCAATTGAATGGATTTCATTATATGATAGCGGCAAACGTGCAAAACGACCCATCTGATGGTAAACAGTTACAGTAGATTAGTGGTCGGCAAGAATTTTAGGTGGGGTCCGGATAGTGCGGGAAAATTTTAACGAGATCCAGAATAAAACAACTGATACTAAATAAGTGCTACCTATTTATTATTTTGGATGAAAATAAAATTCTGAATTCAAAAATGACCTAAAAATAAACGGTCTTGCGCCAGTTCTTTAGTTTTTTTGGTTTTAAAATAAATCTTCTTAAAGAAAGATGTTTCACATATTTGGTGGTCCAAGGTTCGACCTTATACGCTCCGCAAACAGACCGTGATCCGCCTATTGCTGACCAAAGCCGTGGACTATGAACACTTGAAACACCGGAAATGTCACGTGCGGGATGCCAACTATAATAAAGAAACATGGATATATCCTTCTTGAAAAAGTAGCTTCTTGGTGTAGTCTCTAGAGAAAACCTCAGTTGTTGGTTCTATATAAAATCGCTACTCGCTCGTAACTTATCTACAGGTAGTGAGACAGTAGCTATATCTATATTAGGTGAAATAAGATCGTAACCAATTTCGAGCAGATGTTTATTTTATAACAGTTGTCAATTAAAAATATATATTATATATCCTGTTGTAAAATTTACATAGAAACATATAATAGATATAATTATATATTACATATTGAAAAATTTGTTTATTGTTTTGTCTGTAAACTGAGTGTAAATAGAACTCCATTGGAAAAAGGTTTTTTTTTTAAATATAATAAAATATTAAATAAATTATTAAATATAATAATAAATAAAATAAAATATTAAGATGTAGGTAGAAATGTAGGTTGTAGAGTGTTATTAGTGTGTAATTAGTTACTTTGTTTTAGGTGCTATCTATAGTTTTTGTTGTGGATGATAATGGAATGGTGCACTCGTCTGCACTAACGGTATACGCTGGCGGGGCACCAGTGGAAGATGATAAGATGAGTATGAGGTCAGATCGTTTAGCCCATTATGACAAATTTATTAGGAGCTTAGCATGATAGTTGCCAGGGTGAACCGCGTGGAGTCCAACCTAAAGTTAGACCTTCGTGCCAAATTCACCTTGAATTTAACATTATAGTTTCCGTGTGGAGGTCGACTTGATATGGTACATTGCTAGTAATGAGGTTATTACACATTACTCACAATCCCCTTCCATCATTTACAATGCTATTTTTTTTATGGATGATAATGGAATGGTGCATCCGCTTGCGCTAACGGTATACGCTGGCGGAGCACCAGTGGAAGATCATTAGGATTAGTCCCTCGTAGTAAAATCATTAGGAATCTAAGATGTTGGTTTCCACGGAAAATCGCATGGAGTTCAACCTGATGTGATACATGCGGTTTCAGAGGAGCTTCCTCCCGCGTACACTTAGATTGTGGAATGAACTACCTGCCGAGGTTTTCTTGAAAACTACAGCATGAGGTATTTTAAGAAGGGTATATTAAGGTTTCTTAAGGGTCGGCAACGCGCATGTGACACCCCTGGTGTTTCAGCCGTCCATAGGCTACGGTAACTATTTACTATCATATGCTTGTTTGCCACCTACGTGTTGGTTGTTAATCCACATCACTAACAATCCCATTCACACATTTATAATGCTATTATAGTTACCAAGTAACATTTTATATAATTTCAACTCGAATACTCATCATCAATGCCTTGTTTTTATCCCTATTTTGGGGCCAGTGTCAGGGTTAGTACCAAAATACTTCCCTATAGGTCCCTATCGACCGCTATATATGAGGTTACTCTTCTTTTATACGTATCATCTTTCATACCGTCCATTTATCCCATCTGTATTCCTCTGCATTAAAGGCAAGTTCATTAAAACTGATATAATTAATACGAAAATCTGTCTGTTTATTAACTAATAACAACTAAACATCTAAACGGAGCTTAATGAAATATAACATTGACTGTGTAACATAGACAAACGTTATCTTTTATCTAAAAAATAAAAGGCGAAGTTACGCTTGTATCTAAATTTATCTAAAATCTATTATTAGTAGACTTGAATATTATTACTTTATATAATTATTACACAGACCAATTTTAATATTAGATATGTAAAAATAAACAAGATTATTCTATAAAGACGAATAGTGTGTTTCAAAAAGCCAATATCAGTTGTATGTTATTGTAGCAACCGGCGATCGCACGGATGTATTACAAATCTTTAAATTTCTCGGCTTGTTCTATACTAAATCACGCGTGTATTATACATATAAACCTTCCTCTTGAATCACTCTATTTTTTCCTGACAACTACATTAAAATCCGTCGCGTAATTTAAAAGATATAAGCCAAAAGACAGCGGGGGTGACTCTGTTTTATACTATGTAAAGATTTTCTAGGCCTCAAGCTGAAAATATAGTATGTAATTGCCAATTAGTCCGTCGAATTTAAAAATATAATCGATAAAAGATTAGAACACAAAATAATTCACAATGAAACGATTTTTTTAATCGAAATAGATACGAACGTACACGATACACGATTAAAGAAAGTTTGAACACAGCAGATCTCCTGACACACTTATTTTAGAAACATCTTAGAATAGATCGATTCGTTTTGAAATCGATATAAAATCGAGTCAGCTTGACGTGTATCCTGAAAGGCGACTGAAATAAAACTGAAACGGTTGCTTGCTGAAACATCTGCGAGGGCCGGTGTTAAATCGTTTTACAGTCGTTTGTTAAATCTTGGATTAAAAGTTAGACCAGTAGTTTTAAATTTATATTATAAGCGTGTAATTTGGTGAACACATAAATTGTTGCTTATTGCTAAAAAATTCAATAAGTTTAAATAAATTTAATTTAAACAAATAAAACTTAAAAAAGTTCTAGTTTTGGAGTTAGATAATTTAATATTTTATGTTTTTTATATTTGCACTTAAACTACCACTGTTTGCATGATTTAGATTCACAGTAGAAATAGACATAACGTTTATTAAACTTATTACAAGCATTTTTGAATATTTGTTAATTTAGCGGTGTATGTAGATTGAGCCAAGAAGAATCAGCAAAATATTTGCATGTAGTTTTAAAGCAATTAAGTAGGAAGCCACGAAGTATCTTCCACTTAATCTAAAATCTGTAACTTTTAATTTTAATTTATTTTAAATATTATAATATTTTAAGATAGGTACAAATAAGAGATCATTGTATGTTTTATTTTAAATGTAATTGTACCAAATTTAAAATAAAACATACAATGATCTCTAATTTGTACCTACGTTAAAATATTACAATATTCGGATTTAAATTTAAACTGGCTAAAAATGTTAACATGTGGTTAGCATTACATCTCTTTGTTAATATATAAATAACCTATTAGAACTGTTCCTAATAATGAATTAATAAAAAATCTAACCAACTTTCTAGTGATAGACTAAACTGTAGACAAAATAAAAGTCTCTAGAAATAAAGATGCTTGTTTTATTCCAATTCATGTTAATTGTAATGTGTAACGTCTATAGATCTTAAATAAAATTTATGTATTGTTTTATTTATTTTAAATGACATTTTCACGACAAGGCTGAACTTATGATATTGATGATGACTATAGATTATATCACGAGGTCGATGATACAATTTTTATCCCAAAAAATAGACGAAACCGCGGTATTACATTGGCTAGTCTACTATAACATACACCAAGTGTTATGTCCACCACATAACTAAACTCTAATATCGGGGGGAGGGATATCAGGTTGACCTCCACGCGGTTCCACATCGTGATAAATTCTTGGTGAATTGGTCATGATGGGCTACCTGACCTGACCTCATGTTCATCTTGTCATCCTCCATTGGTGCCGCGCCAGCGTAAACCGTTAGCGCAGGCAGGAGCACCATATTAGAGTTTTTTGTTTTTTGTTATGGATGATAATGATTCCATTATCATCCATAAAATAAATAAATATCTAATATCGGGATTGTTAGTAAACGGGAATACTGCAATACAGAAGCAACACACAATTTTCTTGCTCATTCTTCTTGTGATGAGTCTGCGTTCTGCGA